TGTAGGGGTACTTGCTTGTATTGTTTTTGAAAAGAGTTTTTAAGTGGCAGGCCATCGTTACCATTAGCTTTAAAATTTTTGACATTTAAATACAGTGTAGGACTTTTCAAGTCCCATTGGACCTTTACTGTAGAGTTTTCTTGTCTTTCAAAGTAGGTTATGTTTTCATAGAAAACCTGGAACTTTCTCTCTTTCCTTCATCCCTTTCTTCTTTTTTCCCTCCCTCACGGGATAAACTAAGTCCTGACCCTTCTGTAAAAATGGTGTCAAACAGGATACTTCAGGTTTCAATTTTATTTAGAAGAATTACTGTTTTGGATAGATCTGTATTGTTGTGAAAGTTAAGCATTTTAAAATTTTCATTTGAAGTCTATCTAAAAGGCTTTTTTTTTTTCAGAATTGTCAATGTTATTGTAAACCCAGATTAATAATCATACATTGGCACCTACAGTAACAAAAATGACATGTGTTCTTAACTGTTGATCTGCTTTATTGATATATTTTTGTAAAGTTGAGTAATGTTTATTTCTGCATAATTTTACATATGGATATGTAGGGTGATGTGCCCAGCTAGGTAATACTTAGTACCTCTATGGTGTGCTTATTTGTTTTCATCTAAGGTTGCTCTTGCTTTGTAACAATAGTTGAAAGTATTTGTAATCTGAATTTAAGGACAACTATATTATTTCTTCTGGAAATAGAAGGCTAAGGGAGCGAGCCTGCATTCTGATTTTGTTCATTGCCATTATGTGTCTACATGATGTAGACTCATTCGAGAAGATTTAGTTAGCCTTCGGCTATCCTAATGGGTTTTCAGTGGTTGTTAAAAATGCTCTTCGAAGAATAACTAAATTTTCCAAATAAACTGGTTGATTTATACTCAGTGAAGGAGGAGTTCCAGTGCACCCATTCATGTCATCAGTTGCAGTCTCTTATGAAGTGTAATTTGCACAGTCTTGATTAAAAGCCCCGAAACTCTCTTGTCCCGCTGCTTAACACATCCTCTGCTGCCCTCTAACGGCTTCCCATCGGTAGAGCCCATTGTGGGCCCCCTTACCGTTGTCATAGACCTGCCTTTCTCCATCATCTGGTGATTATGTAGCTGCTGGATCCCTGGGAAATGGTCCCAGTAGAAGAAGCTGGAAGGAGCTGCTTTGAAGGAAAAGTATGCACATGTGATCTGTGATCATACCACGAGGTGTTGATGGTCAAGTAGTTGTGATGATGTTAGGGTGTGTGTTTCACTTTACTATTCGTAAATTTACTGTTTGTAAATTACTGTTTGTAAATTACTGTTCATTTGTTTGTTGATTTATCCATGCATCAATGAAATATATTATGAATGCCAAGGATATCCAGAGCATCTTGCCTTCATTCAATCTAGTAGATGCTTATTATAGATTTGTTAAGTGAGTGAATGAATGAGTTAATAAATATGAAGATAAATGGGACTTGATCTCTCCTTGGGGAGGCAAAATATCAGTTTAACTACTTAGTTGCCCCAGCTTTCCTATTTTTTTTTTTTTTTACCTCTTCAAGATCTTAAGATCTTCAAACTAGAAGACAGATACAAATTTCCATTGAAACCTAGTCTCTCTATATTTTTCAGAGTTTCTCAGAATTCATAATCTCTAACTGTAGACAGGCTCTGTTTTCAGATAGGATTTATTTTGCACCCAGGAATGAGAATTTACTTCAGTGTTTCTTGCTTTTGGTTGGTGGCAGCATGCAGTCATGGTTGCACATTTTCCTATATATTCACCAGTCTCCAAGGCAATCTCACCTGCTATGAACTGGCTTTCTGCTTCTTTTATGAATAATAAATTGTGACTTAATTTATCTGGCTTGTTTTAAATACCATATATGAAATACGACATGTTTGTGTTAAGCACGTTGTGAATTGTTGAATTTTCTGCTATTTTTTTTAGCCTGCTTCACTTGGCAAGTTATTTTAAAAAACTTATTTTCCTTGCCACTTTCCATTAACTCATATCAGGTATATGCCTGTCACTGACTTCATTCCTTGTTCAAGAAATATTTCACTCAGGTATGTTTAGGTTCAATAAGTTTCTAGTGAAAAATCAGTGATCTGGATCTACCCACTGGAGAAAAGTATGAGCAGATACCTCATATTTAACACTTATTGTGATGATAGCAGTGGATAGTGAAATTTTGCAGGATTTTCTCTTTGTTTTGTTTTGTGTTGTGTTGGCTGTGAAGATGTCTTGCGGACTATCCTGAACGATCTTTTTGGCCAACCCAATACGTTAACTATTTTATGAACTATATACAAGATAACTATAAATAGTCAGATTTGTTTTTTGTTTGTTTGTTTCTGATGACTGTGCTTGATGGACTTGAAAAATCTTAAATGACTTCTGTAAAACTAGATTTAATTGAAACTAGTAGTACAGTAATCATGACTTTTCATTACCCACCTCTTTTATGATAACAATGAAAGAGATTGGTGGAAAGGAGACTAGAAGGGAGGAAGATGTAAAAAGTAAACATTACCGCTTTCATCTCTTTGACTGCTTCACATTTTATTCATCAGTTTGATCTTGGCCCACACATCCAAAAACCCACATTTCTCATTATTTAGATTACTTTCTCATCACTTTCAAGATGTTCTTGAAACATCACTTTCAAGATGGTGTTGGAGAAGACTCTTGAGAGTCCCTTGGACTGTAAGGAGATCCAACCAGTCCATCCTAAAGGAGATCAGTCCTGGGTGTTCATTGGAAGGACTGATGTTGAAGCTGAAACTCCAATACTTTGGCCACCTCATGAGAAGAGTTGACTCATTGGAAAAGACCCTGATGCTGGGAGGGATTGGGAGCAGGAGGAGAAGGGGACGACAGAGGATGAGATGGCTGGATGGCATCACCGACTCGATGGGTATGGGTTTGGGTAGACTCCGGGAGCTGGTGATGGACAGGGAGGCCTGGCGTGCTGCAGTCCATGGGGTTGCAAAGAGTCGGACATGACTGAGCGACTGAACTGAAATGATTGTGACAAGGCTTAAAACATCAGTGTTCATTCAGAATAAGTAACAGCAGGATGGGGGGTGGGGACCCACAAAGAGCAGTCAGTGGCATTGAGTGATTGCATATATGACCCACCAGACTCTGAACTGCAGTTTTGCTTCCTGTACCGGTCAAGTTTCTCCATTGACTAAAAGAGAAGTCTGCTCTGGTAACTTAAGCAGAAATGGATTTATTAGGAGAATGTTGTATAATTTACATAATTTATGAGGCTTAGAAAAGTAGGAAGGACCCAAAGGCAGTTGAGAAGTTGTCTATGCTTATACCATAGGAAAAGTCTGGTTAGGAAGCCAGTTCTATTGATACTTCTATGACTGAGTTGCTCCTGTATCTTCATTACTCCCTCATGTTTCAAATTCCATTGTGGGAGCATCCCTCTGATAGCCTCAATCAGCAGTTCTCTTTTTTCCTAGGTTTCAGGGTGTCTGTGAGTTCAAAATTATTTTAATGATAATTTTTAGTGCGTCTTAATAATGCCCTTTCACCACGTTGATGTTTTCACTCATGATACAAAAGCTGGACTCCATCTTGTTCACTTGGCCGAATGTCACTGGGTGTTTTCAGGCTTGTTTGATTGGTAAACTGATGATGTGATATGGGAACAGTGTTATGGGAACCAGATTCCTGGGGTGTGAGTCCCAACATCTCCACTTACTAGGTTTGAGATGTTGGGCCACATTTAACTTCTCTCAACTCCAGTTTACTTTTCTGTAAAATGGGATTAATAATAGTACTTACCTTATGGAAATGTTGTGAGGAGTAATCAAGTTAATACAAGTAAATCAGAACAGTGTATGCCTTGTAATAATCGCTTGCTAAATGTTAGCATTCATAACCATTGTTATCCAACGTTCTCATCTGATCTTTGACAAGCTGATCACAAGAGAAAGGAGCTTAGACATGAGCCTGAGCTGTCTGCTTCTTGTAGAGCTGAAGAAAAGACTCATCAGATCAAGATATGATCTAGAAACATGTAGTGCTGCTATTTTAAGTTAAAAATGTAAAACATGAACTTTCCCCTCATTCTTTCTACTGTTTGTATGTTAGCCTAGGCTGATGTAGAACAAAAATGAATGACCAAATTGCAAACAAATATTTAAGGATAAAACTTGAAGAGAACATATCATGTTTCTTTGACAACATATTTTCTTTTGTGTGCAGGTGCCAATAGTAGTGATTTTTTTGTTGTTGTTTAGTTGTATATGCAAAAACTGTAAAATAATACACTTCTTTTAAGTAGTCATGCTTAAATAGTCATTATCTGATAAGTGTGAAGACTACATTTCTTTCTCCAAATAATCTTGGATTTCTTTTCAAAAGACTACTTTTTTTAGGATAAGGCTGTGACTTGAGTTTTTAGCTTTAGCTGAAAGCACAGAGCTTGAAATGGAATAGGTTTATAGCGAATATTTGCTGAATAAGTAATGTTTTGGTTTTCCAGTACTTATAAAAGTTACGTTTACGCAATATTATAGTCGGTTAAGTGTGCAGTAACATGTCCAGAAAAACAATGTGTGTATCTTAATTAAAAATATTTTATTGCTGAAAACGGCTAACCATCATCTGAGCCTTCAGTGAATTGTAATCTTTCTGGTGCGATACCATCAAAGATCACTGATCACAGACCACCATTATAAATTAGTAATAGTGAGAAATAATAGTAATAGTGAGAAAATTTAGTAATAGTGAGCAACTTTGAAATGTTGCAGGAATTAGCAAAATGTGACACAGCAATCAGGAAATAAGCAAATGCTTGTGGAAAATGGCATCAATAGGCTTTTGCTTAATACAGGGTCACCACCAGCCTTCGATTTGTGAAGAAATACAATAAAGTGAAGCGTAATAAAGATGTATGCCTGGATATATTTCATAGAGTAATTAATACTGTGCAGTTGACATTTAACTTTCTGTGTTTTCAGAGAGGAAAATTTACTGGAGGAAGTTTACTGGAGTAAAATGGAGGCCTCAGTAATATTACCCATTTTGAAGAAAAAACTAGCCTTTCTTTCAGGTATGTTTCCTCTTAAAATTGGAAGTATTTGATGTATAAACTTACATAATCTTTTTCCTTTGATAAAGCAGAAATCCATTTCCTTTTTCTATGAAAGTTCTGTTTTAAAGGTATTTCTGAGACACCTTTTACTCAGAATGGATAGCAGTGCAAGCCAACTCCGTCACTTTTGGTGCTTGGCAGGCCAGTTTTTATTCTCTTCTGTAATTTGGTTAAAATGACCTCTATAAGGTAGATATCATGATGTCTCACTTCTCATATGAAAAATGAAATAATTAATACAGGCTGAGAATAATTGACTAGCCAGCATCTAACTTACTGTTTCTGAAATACAAAGTAATTTATTTTTGTGATATCCTCTGTCCTAGCTTTTGTCTTCCATCTTTCTAGGAAGAAGAGTTATGAAATATAAGTTACATGGTTTTCTGTTTTTACTACTTGAACTTGGTTTATACAGGCTTGAATTTACCTTCAGTTATTAACCCAAAGGCTGCATCAACTAAGAAGAGACAAAGAGAAGCTTTGAGATGTTTTACTAGTGTAAAAGCAGTGGTAACACTGGGTGCAGCAACTTTATGGAATTTTGGATCATTGAGTAAATTTGCACCTGCTTTAGAATAGGCACTGTGGCCCACCTGTTGAAGATTAGTTAAATTATTTTATTTTGTTTTTTCTGTCTTATTCTCTTTAGGTTCTATCAGAATTGTCTTGATATTGAGACTACTGTGTCCTTTTTCAATGTATATTGTATCTCTGTGATTGGCGTGTTTTTCTAGTGTACGTTATAAAAGACAAAGATTTTGAATTTCATTAGTAATATTGCTTCTCTAATATGTGTTTCTTTTTTTAAAAAATAAACTTCCTCCCTTATCAGTTGACACTTAGATGTTTTCTCTATTTTTTTATGAGATGAGTGGTGGTGTAGGAAGCATTCTTAACAGTTTGTGAGTCTTGTGCAGGTTCAGCAGTATGAATTCCTCCTAATGGAAGTGTTAAAGAGAATTTACATTTAAATTTGTGTTACATCTTGTCAGATTGCCCTTTAAGAATATTGTTTCAATTGTTATTTCTTTTCTCCCATCAGTGTATGAAAATAGAATAGACCCACAGATGTAAAAAACAAATTTGCAGTTACCAAAAGGGAAAGGGGAAGGATAAGTTTGAAATTTGGAATTAACAGATACACACTACTATATATGAAATACATAAACCACAAGCTCCTCCTGTGTAGCCCAGGGAACTATATTCAATATTTTAAAATAACCTATAAAGGAAAATAATCTGAAAGAGAATAGATATATATGTGTATAACTAAATCACTTGGCTGTGTGTCTAAAACACGGTACATTAACTATACTTCAATAAAAAAAAATGCTTATTTGCCCATATTGTTGCAAAAAAAAAATCTTTATCAGTGATATTTTTGCATTCTTATTACACTTGTCTCTGCAGCATTTGACCCTGGTTACCATACCCAACTTGAAAGGATTTTTCTTCTTGGCATGTGCCTTCTTTTGCATTTACACTGGTGATTATTTTATTGTCCCGTAGTGAAAGCTGAGGGCATAAGGTTAAATGTAGTGCTGAATGTTAGACCTGTCGTCTGCAGGTAATTTCACAGTGGTTTAGAGTGCTACACTTCAGATATGAACCTTTTTGTAGATTTGGTTTAATGTAGGGATAAAGCTTAGTGGTTTTTGAGGAGCAGATGAAACTTTTCTGAACCCAATCCCTCTTGACTTTCTCTCACTTACTCACTCACTTCAGTTGCTCAGTTGTGTCCAACTCTTTGCAACCCCATGAATAGCAGCACGCCAGGCCTCCCTGTCCATCACCAACTCCCGGAGCCCACTCACACTCATGTCCATCGAGTCGGTGATGCCATCCAGCCATCTCATCCTCTGTCTTCCCCTTCTCCTCCTGCCCCCAATCTTTCCCAGCATCAGGGTCTTTTCCAATGAGTCAACTCCTCGCATGAGGTGGCCAAAGAATTGGAGTTTCAGCTTCAGCATCAGTCCTTCCAGTGAACACCCAGGACTGATCTCCTTTAGGATGGACTGGTTGGATCTCCTTGCAGTCCAAGGGACTCTCAAGAGTCTTCTCCAACACCACAGTTCAAAAGCATCAATTCTTCTACACTCAGCTTTCTTCACAGTCCAACTCTCACATCCATACATGACTACTGGAAAAACCATAGCCTTGACTAGACGGACCTTTGTTGGCAAAGTAATGTCTCTGCTTTTTAATATGCTATCTAGGTTGGTCATAACTTTCCTTCCAAGGAGCAAGCGTCTTTTAATTTCATGGCCGCAGTCACCATCTGCAGTGATTTTGGAGCCCAAAAAAATAAAGTCTGAGACTGTTTCCACTGTTTCCCCATCTATTTCCCATTAAGTGACTTTCTCTACTGACTGTTAATTATTTCGATCAGTAATATTCAAGCTTTTTGAATAATAGAGAAAAAATTTTCAAACCAACTTAGTCCTTCAGAGAATAGTTTGAAAACTATGGGTGCAGTTCTTTAAAAAAAAAAAAGAAAAAAAAACTTGTAAAAAAAAAACATTTGCAGTAAGGCACTATTGATTATTTATTAAGTTAACCATTTGAAATTGTCATTTATTGAGATTAAACAAAGTGCTTGAATATCAGTAATTTATATGGTTAACCTGATAAAAGATCATTTATGCTTTGTACTTCGTAAATTGTATCCATGTTATTTATAGGATGGAGAAGGAAATGGCAGCCCACTCCAGTATTCTTGCTGGAGAATGCCATGGTCAGAGGAGCCTGGCAGACTACAGCCCATGGGGTTGCAAAGAGTCAGACATGACTGAGCGACTGACACTACACTTTATTCATAGAAATCATTATTTTTTTTAATTTCACTTCTTTCAGTTTTTAGTGAAAGAGATCATATAAAATTGTTTCCTTTAGTATTTACTGGTTTTTACATTTCTAAAATTGCTATAAATGTCAGTTGGGTTAAAAGATGGACTTCAGTGTGAAAACCAGTCATGTGGGGAGCTTTGAAGGAAGTTGTGTGTATATAAAGTACTAGTTATATTTCCGTGTTTATGGAAAATCAATGAGGACTTGAACGTCTGTGAAATGCACATACACTCCACTTCCTGGCTTTCAGGCTTCTATATGCAGGTTCCATACACTCCTCTCAGCTGGACAGCGTTTTCCCTTTATTGCCTCATGAACAGAGAATCCTGTGTGACCTTTGTGAGTTACCTTAGATCATTCCTTGTCACAGCATGCTCTTTTGGCTAGGTCTATAAATTCTATCCATTTTTCTTAAGTTTTTAACTTTTCTATGAACCATTATACATTTATTACGGCTTTTATGTTCTCCAATTTCTAAATCCCTATTTATAATATTTTATATTTTGTACAGCACAGCCTAGCAAGCTGTCATATTTCATACTATTATTTCTTATGACTTAAAGTTTTTCTTCCTAGATTGATTAGAAATTTATTTTGTTTCACTTGTAAATGCTTACTGTGCTGGGCACACAACAGGTGTTTGATGAATTAATTACAATCAGGAGCAGATTGAATGGAAGAAATTAAACAATGGTAATTGCTATGTTTAAGTGAAGACTTCATGGGTGCATTTTTTTCCTCTAATTTTTTTCTAAATTTTGTATAGTTTTACTGCACTACTATAAACATTTATAATATATAAAATAAACAGCCATTACATAGTTTTTTACTTATGTCTTAACCTTGAAATTGTTTTTGTAACTTTGAACTCAAGTATATATTATTCATTTAGTGCTTCAGTATCTCTTACATGTTAAATTTACATATTTTTTTTCTTTAATAGGAGGAAAGGACAGACGAAGTGGCCTCATTCTGACAATTCCATTATGCCTGGAACAGACAAATATGGATGAACTGAGTGTCACCTTAGACTACCTACTCAGCATTCCAAGGTGACTCTAAAGGTGTCTTTTCTTACATTTCAGTATGTTTTCATTTACTTACTAATGACTCCTGCCATTGTTAAACTACAGTTTGTTGTCTTATTTGCTTTTATTATCAGTGAAATTATAGTCAAAACACCAGAGTCAATAGTATACAATGCCATAGCAGATGAAATAAAGACACTTTATGTTCCTGGTACCCTGAATGATAATAGATTTCTAAAATGTGTGTGCTGTCACCTTTTAAGGGATACCGAGATTGAGCGTCTGTCCATGTACCATGTAATTTGAGAAAATTTAGAAAAGGGAATCTTGTATTTAGGAAGCCATTTAGATATAACTGAGCCTCTGGTGGCTCAGACAGTAAAAAGTCTGCCTGCAGTGTGGGAGACCTGGGTTCAATCCCTGTGTCGGGAAGGAGATGGCAACCCACTCCAGGATTCTTACCTGGAGAATCCCATGGACATGGGGTTGCAAAGAGTCAGACACGACTGAACCACTTCACTTTCACTTTCTTTAGATATAACTATATAGATATAAATATATCTGTGTTTTTTAATATATTGGATGAAGGCTGCTTGGAGTTTAGAACATTTTTTAAAATGCAGAAATGTTTATATTTTAATCCAAAGAGGTTGGATTTTTAATTTTTGTATTTCTTGGGTGAAGACAAACCCTAACCCTTTGTATATGCTTGAGCCTACCCATCACTACAACAGCAACAGACAAACCCTTCCCCCTTCCCTTCCCACATGTGATATTTGGGGGCTGAAGTCGGACTGCACATTAGACTCATCTGGAGATGTTTTTCAAAAATTTTATGCCTGAGCATCCACCTCCAGAGAGTCTGATCCAGTTGTTCCTGGGAATCCTGCTTATCAGAAAAAAAATTCTTTTAAGTTTCCCAGACAGTTCTTATATGCAGTCAGAGTTGCAAACCATTGCAGTAATGAGGGCAGATTTTTTATGTGTGTTTGTACAATGTAGAGGTGGTAAAAGGAATAGTTACCTCTTAAATAATGCTGATAAGCTTCAGATAGTGCATTTTAAACATTTTAGTCAGAGCAGACAATTCTTTATAACTTTTTCCTGTACTTGAAATATTGACATAATAAATTATTTAATTTTAAACCACTTTGCAGAATACAGGGTTAAAATGGTGTTTTAGAACAGTTGACTTTAATCCCATCTGCTTCCAATATTGGTCTATAATGTAATGATTCTGTTGCTGAATGTTTTTCCAATATTAGGGGAATAGAGGTCTCCAGGTAAAAATTTTCAAATTTTTTGTTTTTGCTTTCTGGAAAGGAAAGTTATCAGACCTCACAATAGATAAGTACTAAATAACCTTACTAATTCTCTGAGCTGGTGACTGCTAATTTGTATTATTCTCCATTAGATTGTGAACTCCCTTTTTAGGTAAACAACAGTGGGTAAATATATAACTGGCAAATTAGCAAAAAAATATTCATGGTTTCATAGGTGGTTAAAAGTGCTGAGGGAACTTAGAGACCATCTGAACCAACTGCCTTATTTTCTAATTGAGGGAATTGAGACTCAGAAGTTAGTCACTTGCCCAGGATTACACAGTCAATTAACAGTAGAGCTGGGGTTAGAATCCACAGTTCCTGACAGCAAGCCACTCTTCATAGTTCAAGTGAATAGAATACAGTGTAGTTGCATCTCACCCGAGGTGAGATTCTAAAGTATGGAATGTAGTGCAAAAATTACTGATAGTCAGAATTACCCTTGAAAAATGCCTAAGTAAGAATTAGAGACTTAGATGAACTATTTTTTTGTAACATGCTAGGTTTTCATCCAGAATTGGAGCATGTCATGGAGACTAAGTTCCAGAAGACACAGTTGGCTTGTGGTTAGGTCTGTGATAAGAAAGTGCACGCCGGTGTGTACTAGGGTCACACTCAGCCTCCCAGGATGTTCATACTATACGAGGCACTGGGTAACTGAGGCTAAGGGACCAGCGGTTTCACTCATGTCTCCTGTCTTTTCACTCTGGGTGTGCAAACAAGTACAGTAGATGGCAAAATAGCCTACACTATTTAAATGTTCTCTTTCTCTCTCTCATTCTTGTATCGGTATGGTGGCTCAGCAGTCAAGAATCCACCTGCCAGTGCAAGACACCCGGGTTTGATCCCTGGGTCGGGAAGATCCCCTGGAGAAGGAAATAGCAACCCATTCCAGTTTTCTTGCCTGGGAAATCTCATAGACAGCGGAGCCTGGTGGGCTACCATTCATGGGGTCACAAAGAGTCGGACATGACTTTGCAACTAAACAACAATACATATAATACTGTGCATGCAGAGTCCCTTTAGCTGTGTCCAACTCTTTGTGACCCTGTAGGTCGTAGCCTGCCAGGCTTCTCTGTCCATGTGATTCTCCAGGCAAGAATATTGGAGTGGGTTGCCGTGCCCTCCTCCAGGGGATCTTTCCGACCCAGGGATCAAACCTGTGTCTCTTAGTCTCCTGAATTGGCAGGTGGTTTCTTACCACTAGCTCTACCTGGGAAGCCCACATATAATACTATTGCAGTGTAAATTATGAATCAGTTTCTGCATACATACACATACCTACCTGCCAGCTAATAGAGAAAATATAAGTTGAAATAAGGTGAAAGAATTTCATTTAGCAAGACAAAATAGAGATATGGGTACTTTATTTTTGATAATTGTTCTGCTAAGTTTTGACCTCAAATATTTGCAAATGCTCTGAATTTTTAGCCTTCTACTTTTTTGGACCAACCTCCTATAACTTTGGCTTTTAAAAACATAGTTCATTTGAATCAGTTCTAATGAGATGGATGAAACTGGAGCCCATTATACAGAACGAAGTAAGCCAGAAAGATAAAGACCATTACAGTATACTAACACATATATATGGAATTTAGAAAGATGGTAACGATAACCCTATATGCAAAACAGAAAAAGAGACTCCGATGTATAGAACAGACTTGTGGACTCTGGGAGAAGGCGAGGGTGGGATGTTTCAAGAGAACAGCATCGAAACACGTATATTATCTAGGGTGAAACAGATCACCAGCCCAGGTTGGGTGCATGAGACAAGTGCTCGGGCCTGGTGCACTGGGAAGACCCAGAGGGATCGGGTGGAGAGGGAGGTGGGAGGGGGGACCGGGATGGGGGATACATGTAAATCCATGGCTAATTCATTTCAATGTATGACAAAAACCACTGCAATGATGTAAAGTAATTAGCCTCCAACTAATAAAAATAAATGAAAAAAAAAATAAAAGCAAAAAAAACAAAAACAAAAAAAAAATAAAAATAAAAACATAGTTGGCAACTTTAATCAGTACTTGCCGTTTTATTATGAGCTCAAGTGTTTTTGAGCTCTTCTTTGCAAGCCGGAATAGTAATTTATTAGGTGTAATCCTGAAAAGTGGCTTTTCTCCTTCAGAATGCCTACCATTCAAAACTACTTTTAAATTGTGTTTTGAGAAGTTTCAAATAGACAGAAATGTTGAAGGAACTGTGCAGTAAACATCATTATTGCCCATCACTTAGAAGCCTGCACCCAGTGTTGTAATACTTTATCACGTAGCTATGTGTTTATCCACGCCTCTTTCCATCCCAGAACTTTTAAGTTTACCCTATCAGATGGGGCTCAGCCTAGGTCTAGAAGGATTTTCCTTCATTTAGTATATCTGCATTTTTATGTGTGTGACTTGCTTGTTTCTCCAAGCCCCTGCTGTTAAAGTTTAGCTCCTTTCAATTGCTGGTGTCTGTGGACAGCTTCAGCAATGTAACTAGCTAATGTGGCCTCTTCTTTATAGGGGATGTCCAAAAGGAGTCTGTCTTTGCAGTGAAAATGTTAGCATTTTGAATATTACTAAGAGTTATTTAAAAATGGAAAGGAACTATTCAGTTTCTTATCTATGAAAGTTAAAGTCGCTCAGTTGTGTCCCACTCCTTGTTACCCCATGGACTGTACAGTCCATGGAATTCTCTAGGCCAGAATACTGGAGTGGGTAGCCTTTCCTTCTCCAGGAGATCTTCCCAAGCCAGGGATTGAACCCAGGTTTCCTGCATTGTAGGTGGATTCTGTACCAGCTGAGCCACAAGGGAAGCCCTTCTTATCCGTATTTTATGCTTGTTTTAACGACCAGGGGTCAGGTGTGATACATACCTGTTTCAAATGGGTAACCCAGCACCATTGAAAATGAGAACATTTCCTGATTCTTCGTCACACACAGTTAGCCCCTAAGCTGGTTTTTTTTTGTTCCAGACTCTTGATCAGAGGGGCTGAGAAGAAAGGAGAGGTTCAGGTTAGTCATTGACTTCCCAGATGGCGCAGTGATAAAGAATCTGCCTGCCAGTGTAGGAGACACAGGAGATGTGGATTGATCCCTGGGTTGGGAAGATCCCCTGGAGGAGGTCATGGCAACCTACTCTAGTGTTCCTCCCTGGAAAATTCTGTGGATAGAGGAGCCTGTCAGGCTTCAGTCCATAGGCTTGCAAAGAGTTGAACAAAGCCGAGCAACTGAGCACACAGTCATGACCTGAATACTAAGTTTATGTTCAGGTCTGTGTGAAGTTCAAGACTGACCATTACTGCCCCATTTTATATAAAGGATTTTTAATAAAAAATAATATAGACTGAAACATATTGAACCAACCTGAGTGCTAAGTTTTAGGAGAGGTAAATGGAGTTTTTCATTTGTTTTTCCAGCAATTGCTGTACATTTTAAAAATAAACAACATGATCAGAAATTGAATCCATGATTCAGAAAGCAGAATCAAATTCAAGATTCCCTTACGGAGGTAAAGACAAGACATATAAATTAATTTGCAAATCTTTTCAGTAAAAAAGTAAATACTGAGGTTAGCTTTATCTCATTTCTTTTTATATTTCAAAATTTTACATCAGAAGCATGTTTACTTTCAAAGTATAAAATGAAATTTGTTTCAGTACTGTTACACAAAGTATGATAATAGATAACTGAGACTGCCTGCTTTTTAAAAGGGGTTCCCAGG